AGGGATTGCTGATTATAACTTGTTTTTTATCCAGGGGTGTTATGAAAACTTGTTGCTGTTTTGAAATAGATGACCTTCAGACGTTTCCTTTTTTATAACTGGTTTCTTTCGATGAACTGAGATGCTAATTTGTCCTTTTATTGCTGATGACTGTTGGCTGTAGTAACCCTTGGCTCCATTTAAGAAGTATTTTTTGGAATTACCAAGCCTTGTGTCCCAGCCCTTAGTGCCATTCTCTGCTGCAAGACTATGTGTTTCTTCATCAGAGTTACAAGAACTGGGGACAAGCTATCTCATTCATGTAACTCTTTGGAATATGCTTCTGCTGTCTCCCCTCTGCTCCTGCTGCTTGAACCTAGAGGCAAAGCAGATCAAATCGACCACAGATGTATGTTATTACAAGTCTTGGATCTGCTGTGTAGATGTTCTTCTTCTTCAACTCCAGATGCCGAACAGTCCCCAGCAGTCAGTCTCCCAAACGGTGGCTAATTTGGATTAGGATGCTAATTAGAAATGAATGGACCGCGTAGAGAGCACTTAGTCAGGGTTAATTAGCAGTTAAGTGGCTGGCCAAGCTTCCTTTTGGCTGCTGCTCTCACTCATAGGAACTTTCCAGCAAGCTGAGCCTCCATGAAGCCCTTCCTGCCCTCACACTCGCCTGAACTTCACCAGGAACAACCCTTCAGCCCTGGTCACTGAGCGGCTGTAATCTCATATTTCAAGAGCAGTCAGTAGTGTCTTGAGATGAGCACAGGCAAATCTACAACAAAACTGTACAATCTGCAGGCATTAAAATCAACTCCATTCCATCTTTAAGAAAAGATGAAATTGCATCTATCCTGTTCCTTTTTAAAGTGCCATAAAATTACTGAAAAAGAAAGAAAAATTCTGTATTCTGAGAGGTCTCCTCTCACACTTTTAATTTGATACAGACAATCTTTACAGGCTGAACCCAAGTCCTTTTTCTTCATTTCATTCCAAGGCTGGATCCTTCAAATATTTCCATGCCTTTCACTGTGCCACTTAAATCACATCTGGGTAGTGTGTGGGCCTAATTTCAAAAGTTCTCTGCAAGTTATCAGCTCAGAAGTCTACAAGAGTTCCCTTTTCTTTCATGAGTCATCACAATGCAAGAGGGAGACAAGGGGGGAAAGCTAGAACTGAGTGCCAGGAGAGGAAAGGGGACTGATCTGCCTTTGACTCTGGCCCCGTCAACCATAGCTTCAGTCCCACCCTCTATCCATATGTAGTGCTCAAAATATTGTGTGTATTTGCGTGCATTCAAATCCCTGGTGGCACAATGGGTTAAATCCTTGTGCTGGCAGGACTACTGACTAACAGGTCAGTGGTTCAAATCCAGGGAGAGCAGGTTGAGCTCCCTCTGTCAGCTCCAGTTCCCCATGCAGGGACATGAGAGAAGCCTTCTACAAGGATAATAAAACAGCAAAACATCTGAGCATTCCCTGGGCAACTTCCTTGCAGGCGGCCAATTCTCTCACACCAGAAGTGACTTGAAGTTTCTGAAATCACTCCTGCCATGAATAAAAACCCTGTTGACTCACTGAAAACCCATATTGGTTGGGGGAGAGCCAGTATTAATGAAATTCATTACCCCAATCTGGAATTCCCACCATTTTGAACATTAAAATATTTCTATATAACTGGTTGTTTGTTTGTTTTTTTGAGATCATACTGATTGTCAGTAAAAAAAAATACACTGTATTTTTGGCATATAAGACTACTTTTTAACCCAGAAAAATATTCTCAAAAGTGGAAGATTGTCTTATATCTCGGGCGTCATCTTATAGGGCGGGTGCCGAAACTTCCAAGCCAGACTGGAGAATCTGCGGTCACTGCATATGGTGAGGTGAGCTCAAAAACGGCCATGGCCGCATCCCCGCCATATACGGCAACCGTATGAAAGCAGCAAAGGCAACACTGTACAAGTACGGTAGAAGAAAATCCATTCACCAGAATTCATGGAAAGAAGTGACTTAATGCGGTCCCGATGACGAGGTGAGAGAACACCTCACTGGGAAGGCATACGTGTAGGGCAGAGCTGCAGGGGTCTGGGATGCCCGGAGTATGGAAAAAAGAGATAGAATGGTGCTGTGCCCAGAAAAACACGCCTCTTTCACCTGCCTGGCCCGCCCTTGTATTCTATTACTATATCTCCTTCTCTGCCTCTCCGATCTTGCTCCTGAAGGCAGCAGTGAAGCAGCACAGGTGCGGATGTGTGAGATCTGAGAGGCAGAGAAGGAGGTACGGTAATAGGAAAATTACCATATTGACATAAAATCTGTTGTTTTTTACATTTTTATTTGGTGTGCGTGGGAAGAGAGGTAGTCTTATACAACGAGTATTTCCCAAACTCTATATTTTAACTGGAAAAGTTGTAGGTCATCTTATACGCTCAGTCATCTTACATGCCAGAAAATATGGTAATACTACCGTAATAGCCAATTTATAGTGATAGTGAGTAAAACAGTATAACAACATTACATATTTGTAGAGAATAAAATAAGAAACAGAATTACAGTAAAGGAGGTTAACAACCCAACAGTAGTTGTTTCGGCTATTAAAGGTGTGAGACTTCATTTGTCTGCTTCTGAAAGCATCACTTTTGCCCTTTAGTATTTGATGGATTCTACAGCAGCGTCTCCATTCAAACTTATGGTATAGGTGTGTGAAACTTATGGTACAGGTGTGTTAGTAATTTGTTTTGAAGATTTGGATGGCCCCCACTTTGATACATAAGGGGTTTTTTTGGGGGGGGGTCCTGTTCTGAATCTCCAAAGCTTCATAATTGCTTCATTAAGATTTGTTCTATTAGCAGCAATGGGGAAGATTTAGAGGCTCGTTTCTCTGTCATTTTTATGACTATTAGGATGAAACTGGCACACTTGTAGCACACATTTATGACATTTAAACCTGTCATGTTTCAGAACATTTTGGTCATCCACTGATTTTTAGGATTTTAATTTTTTTTACAAATATTTTTTTCTAAAAGAAACCACAAGTTATCTCCTTGAGTTTCTTTACAATGAGACAACATAAGTAGGGCATCAATCCTGCAAAGTTTCAGAAAGATTTATTCATCTACTGATTTTCAGGAATTTTCAAAAGTTTTTTTCAAGTAAAAAGTTATTTTTTAAAAAACTGCAAGAGGTATCCCCTTCAATGGTAGCACAGTGAGACAACATGAGCAGTGCAGCAAGCCTGCCAAGTTTCAGAATAATCAGTCTGTCCACTGATTTTTCTGATTTTTATCCATTTAAGCACATGTGATTAACCTACACTGGTACTTTAACATGGGCGGCCTCATTCTTCTAGCATGAGCAGAATTCTGGGAAATGTAGTTTTGGGTGAGGGCTTTTGATTACTCTGCTACAGAGGTCCTTGCCTTCCCAAACGACATTTCCCAGAATTGAGGGTTCAATAATTTCAACAGATGAAAGTTATAGACTAGAAGAAGGGACAGAAAGAAACAGAATTCTCAAAAAACTACTATAAGTTTAAGTTTTAAGAAACACAGAGAAACAGAACGGACCTCCAAAGGACACATATTTATCTCTCTCCTGCAAAAACCACAGACACAAAGACACAGCCACTGAGGGAAATAGACCAGCTTTGCAGAAAGCCACGTGATTTGGGTTTCTTCTTCTGATTAGCTGACAAGGGGGGGGGACAGCATACAGCTGCCCACCCCTTCCCCCCAGCCCCCCTCCCACCCCAGACAATTACTTGTTATAGAGTGTTACATGGGGGGGGGAGCTCTGAAACAACAAATCTTTACGAATTGCTCTGAAAGTTTTGGAGGCTGCTGTTTCAATTAATAAATGTTTCAAAGGAGTCCTTTCCGATTAGTAATTTGAATAATTAAATGGAGCTGTGGAGCATTGCACATCCCTATTAAGGTACAGAGTCTAATCTTGGAAACTAAGTAGGATAAGCCCTGGATGGGAGACCACCAATGCTGTCTTTCAGAAGGAAGGAATGGCAAGCTACTTCTGATTATTCCTTGTATAAGAAAAGCTTATGAAATTCATGGGGTCACCATATGTTGGGGGCCAACTTGAAGGCACATGCACATGCAGAGTATCTTTCCCCATAACTATCATAATTGCTGATGATTGGCCACACTGGTTGGGATTTATGAGTAGTGCAATACAAACACCTGGACGGCATCAAGTAGGTCATCTCCGAATTAGAACATGACAAGCAACATGCATAGATGTAGCTTTCCATTTTCCAGTTTTTCGTAAAATAAATATGCATTTGAATAATATTTGGTCCATGGCAGGCAGTAGTGTTTGTATCTGTATTTCATTAGTTATCTGGTGGAAATTAAAAGGCTTTTAAAAATGAATTCTGCATATTGCCTTGTTTAATTGGACACATCAAAATAATAGATGTATTTATCATATTTTAATGTTGTATCTGTACATTAGCAAGGATGTTGTAATAGGTATATAGATTTAACCTTCCATCAATATCTGTGCCTTCTTCCTGATCATTACTTTTTGATGAGGCATACTTTTTGTCCTTATGAATTAGTTCAGGTTGTGTGTTCCTGATCCAAAAAGCCTTAGACCAAAAGTGTTTTGAATTTTGGATGTTTTTCAGATTTTGAAGTATTTGCATGTACTCTGTGAGATATCATGGAGATGGGACCCAGGTCACAAATAAATGAATAACATCGTTCATTTATTTTTCACATATACCTTATATATGATGGTAACTTTATACACAATATTTTCAATAATTTTGAGTATGAAACAAAGTTTGCATACATTAAGCCATCAGAAGGCAAAGGTGTCACTGTCTTGGCCAACCATGTGGGTTTTGGAATATTTTGGATTTCAGGATAAGGTATACTCAATCTATATTATTATCTTGTTGCAAAAGTACAACCATGACAAGGTGGTGGTTATTTTTCTGCCTTCCTCATTGGACATTTTCATAACAATGACTGAATAACCCTCACTTCCGGCCTACAGGTAATACCTGCCACTTTGAGGATGAGAAGATATGTGGCTATACACAAGACACGATTGACAACTTTGACTGGATTCGGCAGAGCAGCTTAACCCATGATCCCAAACGCTCAGCCAACACAGGCCCAACAATGGACTTCAGTGGGACACCGGAGGGTATGAAAGCTTTCTTACATTCAGTGTTGCAAAAAAAACACATCTGTATTTTTGCAACACTGATTCCTTGTCAGCAAGATTTGCAGTGAGCATAGGGATAAGGAGTGGGAAGAGAAAGTCCATGACAGTCCTTAAATATTTACCGCTCTTTGATGAAGCAAGGACTACACCAATCAGGTTCCTGCCTGTGATGGCATGCTCGAGCCTTTGGGGAAAAAAACTATAGTGTCTATCTTTACTTGGGGGCTATCTGTATGCCTTCTGTTGAGATTGAGACCCTTTACACACAGAGGCACTTTAGGGAAGGTGAAAAGATAACAAAATGAGTTCACTGGGGAAAAAAGTTGAATAAAGGGTTAACTCCACCGGGACTATTTTAAGGTAACTTTAAATAGTACATTAAAAAAGGAGCCTTTGCTGGCTGCAGTCAACTTTCTGGAGTCTTCTGCCTTTGGTGCAAAGTGATGGTTTACAAGCTGTTGCTTATAAACTGTCTCAATCTTCTTTCTTGTGAAGCTTAAGCTGGTCAAAAGCTTCTGTTGTTTCAGGGACTGCTGGTATAAGAATACTGCTGAATGCAGATAGTAAGTATGCCTGATTGGATTGCTTGGACCTAGGGTTACCAGGCAATTCCCAAACCTCTGTTCACTGAAACTCTGCTGCAGAAAAAGGGAGGAGTCCAGCAAGAAAGCTCTGTACAGGCAAATAGAATAGACCAACTAAGGCTGGCCTCTGGGGGGGGGGGGTTATGCTCCACACAAAAACTAATACAAAGGAAGGAATCTACACTATTGGGAAAACCTATAAACAGGAGGGACTAAAGCAAAGGAGAGGAAAAGGCAGAGCCAAGATTTCACACTGCCCATATTGTCCTGTTCCCCCGCTTTTTTTTTTTACTTATTCTGAATCCATTCCAGTCAGATTTCTATCTTCCAACCAGTATCTAGTTCCTCATGTTCTTCATAGAAACTGGAATATATCTGTATTTTTAGATCCAGACATTGTACTGTTTCACCCATCTCTCTCATGGCTGACAACCTGAGCTTATTTTTGTGTTATTTATTTATATATATCTTTTTTTCCTCTACCAAAGGAGGCTCAAAGTGGCCAACAATAAAAACCATAACAATGTGTGAGCTTATTGTGTAGAAATCTCTACATGGTGCACACTGCTCTGAAGATTTACAGAAGACAGTGAAAGGTTTTGCCTTTAGGTTTTATAAAGGCATCTCTAAGACCAATTTGGCTTTCAGTATCGCCTTGGGAACTGGGGATAAGGTAGATTAGTTTTCTACACACACTTATTCACCCCTGCTCTGTTCTGGGGCATGGGGGAGTAGGCAGTTAATTTGCATGTTTCTTATTCACATTAAATACCCAATTAAAATTCCCACTGCTTTGTTTAGGGGAATCAGGAGAGCATTAGTCCTTGTTACTGGTTAATTGTCTGCTGCCAAATGTCCTTGTTCTGTTGATGCTTACTTTCAGGTCACAGAGGAGAGAAGCAGTTATAAGTCTGTTTAAACACCCAGAAATGGCAAGGATGGGTTTTCAGACAAGAAGACCACTGAAAATTCTAACTCACTGTCCTAGGAAATCTTGGAATCCATTCAGCCTTACAGAAGAGATGTGCTGTACTATTTACTTAATTTGAGGAGCTAGCCAACTTATTTCTTTGCAACCCCAGAGGCCATCCATTGTCCTATACACACAATGTTTTAGGTAGCAGTAGATCAGAGGTGAAAAATGTTGGCCCATAAGGTGTTTTGAATCTTATAATCCCATAGCATTGACTATGTTGGAAGACAATAATTATACTGGGGAATCTGTCCTTACAGTTGTCCCCATTCCACAACCACCAAGAAACACCAGGACATTTCAAAAATGTAATTTGAAAACTTCTTCGGGATGCTTTAGCTGTGAATGACTGCACTGGCAGGGAATTGGACAGAAAGATTATATGTTCTCTTTGAATGCAAAGGGAGTGGAGGGATGGCAAAGGGATGGCAAAGCTGGCCCAAAATAAGTGCTTTTCTATGTAGAGCTATTGGCAGTTAAGAACATGGGACTCCAATATACCTTGTTTAAACCTTTCTTTTTCTAAATTTGTTTCCAAACACACCTGTTTCATTCTGTAACAAAAGAAAAAATAATTTTTTCAGTCTTCTCCGCACTCTATAAGAATATGAAATGTGAATAATATTCAATGCCTGAGGCAACATTTAAACTAAAACTGTTAAAATGCAATCTCTTCAAAACGTACCTTAAAATCCATAGAACAAAGATTAAAACAGTATAATAATAAAATGTAAATTTACATGTTTTGTGCAAAATATTTTACTTGAACATAAGTGTGAAGTTTTTGTGTAGGAGCCCATACAGGAAAACTACATGTGGTTTTTCTGCTCAGGAATTAATGTAATCATACAAATTACATGAAGTTATAAAATTTGCATCAGACACCGTTTGAATAAATACATGCATTCCTGCACACAAAAACACATAGAGGTTTTATTGTATGTGTTTTTGGTGTAAAAAACAATATTGTTCCTTTGGAACCAGCTTATTCAGCACAACATACACATCTTCTACTCAACAACATGTGTGCCTTATTTCAAAACCATATATACAGTAATTTGCACAAATGGGTTTCACGCAATGTTACTTCATTTATCATAGCAGTGTTACAAATGAAATGTAACAGTGTCTACACGCCCCTGCAAAGGTCTGTGTTTAGGACAAGTTAGTTGCAAGGCTTTGAAACATCCTAAATGCAGGCCTAGAGCTCTGTAATTTCTCCATCTTATTGACAGGAAGAGAGTGACATTTCCTTACTTTTGTTTCTTTGCTCTTCAGGCTACTACATGTTCATTGAAGCCTCTGCACCCCGGGTGAAGGATGACAAAGCTAGATTAATCAGCCCCATGTACAACATGACTGCCAGATTCTGTGTCTCCTTCTATTACCACATGTATGGGAAACACATTGGTGAGTGGACTCAAAGGACAGCTCTGTCTGGGTTACGGAAATAACACTCCTGAGACTTGCCAGAGCTGCTTCTACTGCATATTACATAGACAGATTATTCTCTAGAGTGGAGTGTATCAGATGTTTTCTGCAAGTCATTGATTTGTCAGTTTTAGGGCCATCTACTTCCAGGTACTGATTTTGACAAAATAAGGTATTTCGCTTTGCTATTTGGAAAGCAACACAACAGTCAGATCCTGAAATGGAAATATTCCTTTCTCCTAGATCAGTGGTTTTCAACCTGTTGGCCCCCAGGTGTTTTGTCCTACAACTCCCAGAAATCCCAGCCAATTTACCAGCTGTTAGGATTTCTGGGAGCTGAAGGCCAAAACATCTGGGGACCCACAGGTTGAGAACCACTGTCCTAGATTGTGTCTGAATAGCTATTTCTTCCACCTCCAACACCAACATAGGCTTCCATAGTCAGATCCTCTATTTCACAACTGAAATTGTAAACTGGAAGGTGGCCTAAAAGAAGGCAAAATCCCTTGAGATGTGATTTAGGACTGAAATATCAGCCTACTCTGGCCTCCTAGGTGGGATGTGAAGCTAGGATAAGCCTTGAAAACAGGAAGGCAAGCAGACAATAAACAATAACTTTGGCCAGAGGATTCACCAGTCCCCAATATGTGCTTTCAGTCCGACTTACTGCACTGGTTGAGATAATTTATTCCAAGCATCAGTATTTTATAGGACTTCAGTGTTATATAGACAAGACAAAACTATGCACAAGCAGCATCTAATCCATATATGGTCATTCTTATCTAAGCTCTATGTAACCAGCACCAAATGTATCCACATATTGTTTGTTGTTTACAAGGATGTTCTCAGAGTCTGGCACTGTAGCCATAGCATCTGATGGGATGACCCTGGGCATATAATATTGCAGATATACCATTTATAGCACGACACAAATTAGAGAGAACACATTGAAAACTATCCATAAATGGTATTACAGTTTATTCGAGTTACATGGGATTAATAATGGAGTATCAAAATTATGCCGGAGGGAATGTGGAACATTAGGAGATTTTAACCTGGATAGACTGTATAATAGCACATAAAGTTTGCTTTAGAGAGGCGTTACTGCTTCTGGCCTTATTTGAAGACAAAATAAGGTCAGAAGACAAAATAAAATTTGTTTTAAAAATCTACCAAAGACTTTTTAGTATTTCTGCTATGCGTTATAAGGATGGAGATAGTAAAAGCATGGAAAAAGCTTCAAAAATTATGTATACATAATTAGATAAACAGAATATGAACCACAGCTCAACCTGGATAAATAACATAGAAAATAAGATTAGAGAGAGGAGAAATGAGGGAACATGTTTGAGGCTATATGGAAACCATTCATTAGCTATATGTGCCAGCATAAGAGCAAATCTTAATCATCATCAGATCAAGTAAGATTTTAGTTAAATGACCAGTGTAAGATATGACTATTATGAAAAAGAGTAGATACTAGAGAATAATTTACTAGCTAAAGGACTGGTAAGGAAGTAGTCTATAAATGTCTCACTTTGGGAAAGAAAGGAAAGTGGATGGGACAGGATAATACAGGATTTTAAATTGTGATAAAAATAAATTAAAAGGATGTTAAAAGGATGCTCTTAGGGTCTGGCACTGCAGCCATAACATCTGATAGGGTGGCCCTGGGCACATAATGTTGCAGTTATAGCATTTCTAGCATAGCACTAATGGCAGAGCTCAGCAAAACATACCAGGTCACTGGTGAGATGTCAGCTATGGTCAAAATGAAGTTAATTAGGCCAATTCCAGAGCCTATTTAAATTTGTAATTCTTATTTTACGCCAACAGTGATGTCCCACATTTGAGCAGGATCGGCCAACTTTGTAGGTTGCCTTTAGCTTTTAAGCCTTTAAAAGTGCTCCTCCACATTTTCAGATACACGTAGAGATGTTTTATCACTATGAGTACTAGAAACTTTATTTTTAATTAAAATCTTTAACTGAGGTGCCTGATGTACAAGACTGTGGTGACTATTTGTTTCAGTGCCATAGTCATGCCCATGAACAATCAGTTCTTGTTTTCCTTTGACCCTCATCTAGGATCACCTATTTTTTTTTCTTACTTTCTATTTTCTAGGAGAGTACAGGGAATAACCTTTTATTTATTCCTCTTTTATTGAGGTATTACAATATGACCTGGGTGGTAATTGTTTTGTGAGAATATCTTTGGGGTCTGATTTGAAAGTGCCTAGAGGGAATGTTGAACAAGAGGCAGTAGAGACATCATTACAGGGTGTATCTGATTGCTATTTTGATTTTAAAGCAGGTAAACAAGACCCAAGAAAGTGGCAAAATAATGTGCAAAAATAATGTACTAAAAGCAAAGTCATTCTGAAGGACATCTGTCTCTCTCCCTTTCTCTTTCTCTTTCTCTCTCTCTCTCTCTCACTCACTCTCTCTTTCACTTCACCTCCTGCCTCTGACTGCTGGGATGAAGCTGTAGCATTCGCTGAATGCCACAGAAGTGCCTAATGAGTTTCCAGATTCAGTCAAGGAGCAATTGCTAATTTGTCACCTCTTGATTATAATTTCATTAATTTGAATAATAAATGCACTCTTTCTCAAGCCCACTAAGTTATTAATCACCTGCTGGACTGGAGCCTGACTGAGAAATCAGAATCCAGTCAGGAATGAGCCTGCCTATTGGTAAACAGGAATGGTAAACAGACTTAAATTAACATCTCGCTCAATCTGAATACAACATATTTCATTAGCCAGGAACCTGGAACCAATTTTTTGTACCTCTTTTCTCAGCAGAGGAAAGAGAAGAATAGATGTATTGAATTTTTCAGAAAACTCTAGATAATTATTCCAGCACAAGCTGCTTTCCTGTGACTATAAAGCATTTTTGTTACCACTGAAACATCTGATGTGTTCTTCAGTGCTTCAGTGACTGACATTTTGTCTGGCCTCAGGGATTGTGTCACCATTTCAATTTATATTCAAGTATCAAGAATGCCTTCTAGGTTCCTCTAAGACAGAGGTTCCCAACCTGTGGTCTGTGGACCATCAGTGGTCCCCAAGAACTAAAATATGGCCTCACCATTACTACACTGTTGCAACGAAAGTGACTGACCTCATGAAACCCTCTTATACTGCCAAGGCAATGGGGATATTGGGAGGGGAGAGGTTAATTATCCATGAAAGGCACAACAAGCCTCCTGACAGCTGCTTCACCTCCTCCTCCCTCCCTCCCTCCCCCTGAGAGGAGCCTTTCCATGTGGTGCCTGGAAGCAGGGGCACCTTTCTGTCTGTTTTTAGGCCAGTTCCTGGAGTTATTTGGGGTGCTGATTCAGAAAATTGCATTGGATAGACCACATCAGCATCTTGGAAATGACTTTTTTTCTCCCCCTAGCTAGTCAGTATTAAATGCTGAAGGTGTGGTGACCTTGGAACAGTGAAGAATTGACAGGACATTGCACTTTGGTCTCAGTTACTTAAACTAAACAAAAATGTAATTCTAGTGCCATCAATTTATGCACCTATTCCTTCTTATATTCATAGGAACATTTAGGACCTCTTTAGATCATTGTAAGCCACCTTGAATCCCCCTGTCAGGGTAGAGAAGGGTGGAGTACAAGTATGGCAAATAATAACTAACTAAATAAATAAATAAATAGATCATGCCTTATTCTCCACTGAAACTTTAGACAGATTTTCCATTCCTGTCTTCCTTCTAGCAGATAATTTGTGTGTGTTGACTGCACTAAAATCTACTCAGAAAAGATCCCCTCAACTCTGCGATTGGATATTAATGAATCCATCCCAAAATCTTTCATCATTTCCTCTCCTTCTTCTTCCTTTCCTCTCCTTATTATATATTTTAGGCTTACTATAGTGCACAAGTCTATTTCTAACCCACCTTGCTTCTACCTAGTTTGAGAGGGTATCTGTTCTTTATCTATATTATTGTTTTGAATAGGCCACAATGCCCTATGAATGGAGTGAGACTTCACAAGCACATGATTGCTTGCCTTGAGCACTTCCTGGCTTGCATTTGTTTGACTATTGCCTGAAGTGATAAGTGGGAATGATTTGTGAAAGCAGTTCCAGATGCTCAAGTAATGGCTCCAAGTATCATAAGATAAATGTAGTCTGTGCTAACACTTGTTATAAAATTATTATATCTTAGTATACTCCATTATCTTGACCCAGTAAATATAGTTCAATGCCATAAGTATGAGGCAGGCTACATCTTAAGGTCTGCTCTTCTTATCTCTTTTCTTCAGGCAGCTGGCTGATACTTCATCAAAAGTCACTTGCTCTACAAATTGTTTTCTTGTTGCAGATTATCTGTCTTTAGAAACCTAGGAAACTTCTTGGTTTTTGAGTTTAAAACTATTTATTTTTTTCACAGGGGATGGTATAAATTCTAAAGTTAGACATAATCCAGTGACCTGTCCTCTCGCTTAGGTGATTCAGGGCACACTTTGAAACTGGGAGACCCAAGGCGAATGTCTACCAGAAAGCAGTTTGTTAATCTTGTTCCTGGCTCCCCAAAGGGACTTCTAGTCCACTTAAACATGCAGCTTGTTTGTATTTTCCTCTTACTTGCCCAAGTTCAAACTGAAAATGTGCTTCCTTTCCTGGCCCCTCTCCAAAAGATCTCTGATCCCCCCTTAGCAAGTCATTACCTGCTCAGAAAAAAATCTTAAGCATTATTTATAGATGAGGAAATGTTATCTAATCACCATTAGCAATACATCATTTTAAATAAAATATAACTGCATCTTCCATGCAATAGCTGGAGATGTCAGGACAAGGTATGATGCTCACAAAATTGAGTTTTTTGTCCTCAACAGCTCCCTCCTGATAGTCTTTTAAAAAGCTAGTAACACACAAGCTAGATAATGTTACCTTTGGGTGAATTTGTAGTTCACCCACTAAATTCAAAATGGTGCACAGCAATGACTCCTCATCCTGGAGAGACAT